TTGAATAGGAGCACAATTTAGATGACCAGCTGATGAACCTGGCTCTTCTGAGCTCTCCGGAAGACATGATAGAGGCAGCCTGCTATTATGAGGAAAAGAGAGAGCAAATGGACCGAGCTGTCATGTTATACCACAAGGTAAATACCTTTTTAGTAAAAAATATCAAACTTTAAACTGAAGCAGTTCCTGCAGCAGAGGAATCAACTGTATCACAGAATCCCAGACTGTTTTGGGTCAGAAGGGACCTTAAACTCATTCAGTTCCAACCCTCCTGCCAAGGGCTGGGGCACCTTGCAGTAGACAAGGTTGTTCCAAGCCCTGTCCTACCTGGCCTTGAACACTAGTTTTTACTATATATACTGTTTATTAGTCATTTATGCTTTATTAATCCATTCTAGAGTATCCTGTAACCTGATCCGCCGTGCTTATTCTAGTCTCTAAAGTATTCAAGTATTCTTAACTTTGCAGGCAGGACATTTCTCCAAAGCACTGGAGCTAGCCTTTGCCACACAGCAGTTTGGGGCCCTACAGCTGATTGCTGAAGACCTGGATGAGAGGTCAGACCCAACCCTGCTGGCTCGCTGCTCCGATTTCTTCATTGAACACGCACAGTATGAGAAGGCAATGGAGCTGCTGCTCACAGCCAAAAAGGTAAGCTCCAGCCTCACTGGGCCCTCCCTGCATGGGGAAAGAGGAGCACAAGAAGCGCCTAAGTGCACACACATGCACTGATCTTTGCTGGTAAACAGACGTGGAGGCACGTATGAGGTTTGAAGCTTCTTCTCAGGCCAGAGTGATGGTAGCCCAATTGGCTCAACATTAGAAATGGGTTCCTGACTTTTGGTCTTATTTCTTGCTTAAAACCTGCAGATTTTGCAATCTTGGGACAAGAACAACTCCTATTCTCAAAACTAACATATTTGTAGACAAGGAAATTAGAACATCATCAAAAAAACCATAACGTCCCTCTTGTGTTAGTTAAGGTGCTTCATTCCTCTCCTAAATTTTTACACATTCTACTGTGCTGAAGCTCAGCCTTACCAGAGCAGTCCCGCACCTACTCTTCAGTGAGCTCCAGTCTTACTTTCTTCCGCATTTTACATGGGTAGGGTAGCCTTTTTCTGGTCTAAAAGCTATTATTTGTCCCCCTCAGAATTTTTTCCTATATGGGAAGTAGCAAATATTTAACAAAATCTTTCAAATGCCTATATTTACTTTATTTGTATCTGCTGAAAACCTTCATACGATCAATCATGCCTAAGACATTTGTGTGACTTGTGTGCCTCTGAGAATGTCCTGTTCAAAGAGATGAAATGGATGAATCTTTAGTGTCCACACTAGTGTCCTCTGAGAAAACAGGTAAGAATCAGTGGTCTTCATGGAAGAACAAATGTGTTCTTAGCAAACAAAATGAGATGGGGTGTGCTTGAACTGGTGGATGCTGGGATGCTTGACTGCACAACAGTGTTCTCATAGAGCATTCACAGCTGCTAGTGTTTGTGCCTTCATATAGCTAATTTCACAAGCAGTATGAAGTATCAGCATAGTGTCTGCAATATCCCATTGCTTTCTCACTCCCATTAGTACCATGAAGCTCTGCAACTCTGCCTGAAGCAGAACCTGACCATTACAGAGGAGATGGCTGAGAAGATGACTGTCTCTAAGGACTCCAAGGACCTCTCTGAGGAGTCCCGGAGAGAGCTGCTGGAGCAGATTGCCAATTGCTGCATGAGACAAGGCAATTACCACCTGGCCACCAAGAAATACACACAAGCAGGAAACAAGTTAAAGGTCAGCCTGGATATTTAGGGAGAAAAGCTGAGGAGGCTGAGCCTGTTACCTTCCTAAGATTCCTCAAAACAAGGGTGTTTTGAGAAGTATATCTTGGAACAGACTTCATACAGTAGAGAGGCTTCTAATCCATCTTCACATAGCTTGTGGGTTCACATTCACAATGATATTTCCCCCCCCCCCCCTTCTTCCCCCATGTGCCCCTTTCCATTGCTAGGCTATGAGGGCACTGCTGAAATCTGGAGATACTGAGAAAATTGTCTTCTTTGCGGGAGTTTCCAAACAAAGAGAGATTTATATCATGGCAGCCAACTATCTACAATCCCTGGATTGGCGTAAGGACCCAGAGATTATGAAGAACATCATCCGTTTCTACACCAAAGGGCGGGCCCTGGACCTCCTGGCAGGTTTCTATGATGCATGTGCTCAGGTACATCCCCTTCTGTGACTTGCTAAAGGTGCTTGGTTTATTATCTCTGGAGCAAAACATCTCATTTCTCCTCTGCAGGTAGAAATTGATGAGTATCAGAACTATGAGAAAGCACAAGGAGCCCTGACAGAAGCCTGTAAGTGCCTTTCAAAGGCAAAGACTAGAAGCCCTCCGGAACAGGAAAGCAAACTAGCACATCTGCAAAGCAAGCTGACCCTGATTAAGCGTTTCATCCATGCTCGGAGGTGAGCTGCAGGAGTCAGAGCATGTGAACTAATGACAGAAATACCAGACAAGAAGTTCTACAAATACCTGCAGTTTAATAGACAATTTGCAGACTCACCTCTAACAGCTGCTGTTACATTTTTCTAGCAAGGAAACCATTATGTGCTTTTTATAAGTGCTGTTGACATCAAAGATGAAAAGGTAACCTGAAATATTAGCAAGTGTATTGACCCAAGAAAGTGTAGTCAGAAGGGTGATTATGAAACATGGCACAGTAAAAATAAACCTTCCCTGGTTTTCCCATACAGGCTGAATGCTCTCCCCTCTCTGATTGTTACCAGTTTCCTTTTGCTCTCTACTAGAGTTTACTGTGAGGATTCCAAAGAAGCAGTCCGACAGTGTGAACTTCTCCTAGCTGAACAAGATTATGACACTATCATCCGTCACGGTGACATTTTGGGATTTCTGGTTGAACATTATGCACAAGTGGAGGAATTCCATATGGTAAGTTAATTCTTCCAGTCTACAGAGCCTGTACTTTACACATACCAGTGCAGCTTGGTATCGCTTGGTTCTCCTAGAGGAAGACATTCCATAGTAGAGGCTCATTTAGAGGAACCAAACTGCTCAGCAAGGTGTGACAGACCACAGGAACTACATCCATATTAGCATGGTATTGGGTGACAAGTTCACTATGACTTGGCTCTGTGACAGGAATGGCTTTAATGCTGCTATTATGAAACACAGGGATGCCAAGCACAAGTTTCTCCAGCTGTGCTCATTAACCTTTTATTTACCACATTGTTTTGACACTGCTTCAGCTGTCAGGAGAATATAAAAACAGGCTTGGAGACCCCTTATTTATTAAACTGAACAAGACGGAATTGACACAAGTCACTAGGAAAGGTTGCTGTGTCAGCCAAGGCTGCAGGCTCCTGGCCTCACGCTAGCATCCCTTGACACTGAGCTCCTCTCAAGGCCTCAGCTGTGTGTCACGGGGGGCTGCTGGAACTCACGTAGCACAACAGCCCCGTAACAAGCTCTGTGCATTGCTTTAGGCTTACCAGTACCTGGTGGAGATGCAGAAAAGAATTCCAGTCACTAACCTGAGCTACTATGTGACGCAGCAGACCCTTGAGGCAGTCCACCGAGGAACAGGCATTCCTGTCAGCCAAACCCCGGTTCCACAGCCTGTTCTCCACAGCAGTATGGAGAACAAGGAGATGGGACAAGAAGTGGCTGATGACGTAGAGGAACCTTGACAACTTACACTTACCAAAGGCAAAGCAGACTCTAATACCAGGTCATTTATTCTGTCTGTGTTAGGACCATATGTCACGATGGCTGCGAGGAGGCTTTTTGATTATTAACAAGAAATTTATTTTTCCTATTCAACTGTATATGCAACAGTATTGAAGTTACTCTCTTATCTCAAACACTACATACAAATATTTATGTCAATATCCTGTTATGAAGCTGGTTTTAGTATTTTAATGAATTTGAGGGGGAAATAAACCCAACAAGGACTGTATATTGTAACTTCAGGTCTTTTTCCAAGTACAGAAAAGAGCTGAGTAACTGAGGTGAAAGCTCCTGAGGTGACAAAAGTTTTCAAGTCCAGCTTTGATCTGCTGAGGTGCAAACTGACTGGTCATTCCCTGGAAGTCACAACTTCTGAAAACAATCCCTATCCTGCTTGGGTAGGAGCTTGGCTAAAAGTCCAGTCAAACTCCAGCAGAATGGAGGAGCCTTCCTCCAAAGCAAAGTTTTTGTGTTTAAATATATTACAGGGTTACACAGGCTAGAGCCACTTACAGAAATCTGACTGAACCTTAGACTCACAGAATGGTTTGGGTGGAAGGGACCCCTTGAGGTCACATCTGCTCTAATCCCATGGCTCAAGCTGTTTCACACTTTGAAGTTTCTTTTCCAAACATCAGTTATGTCAAGCTGCACTGTACTAATCAGGCTTTAGGCTGCAAATTTCTTCCCAGGCATGGGAAGAAGCTGGGCTTCACATGAGAAGTGAACCCCAGCGTAAGCAACCAAGGCTTTGCTCACCTTTAAGCCTGTCATCCTGCCCATGAAGGTCTCTCTCATACATTTCATATTACCTGCCAGCCCTTCTGCTGAGAAGGGATTTTCTTTTTCCTGTTTTGTGACTTGCTTCAAAACTTGGGGTGAATGTGAAGTTTCTGAACTGTATGCTTTCAGGAAAGAAGGGGAGGGACAGATTTTAAGGTCAAAAATCTGAGTGTTAGCTGTCCTTTAACAGAAGCTTATTTCTGTACTAAGATGATACAAAAAGAATTCCTGCTGTGTTCTCCCCTAACCACTGTGCAACTTTAGCTCAAGCCTTTAAGGCTTGGCACATGTTCAGAACTTCAGCTGTCCAGTTTGCATCTCACCAGCAGTGGCATTCTGTATACCCCTCCAACAGCAGACCAGGAACTACTGGACCAAATGCTAACAGCTGGAAGACATGGGAGCCTTAGCCCTGGAGGTGCGTGGCCCCCTCCAGCCTCTCTTTTTCTGACAAGAAGCCTGCTATGAGATCTTCCCTGTATTTTTAGAAGAGCACTCAAACCTGCCAAGGTTATAAATAACAGGGGTGGGGGTGGGTGGAGGATGGCAGCACTTGCCTACCTTCCTGCATCTGTACACGCTGTACCGGATAGCAGTAGCTCACTAAGTTGGCCTCCACTACAAAGTCCAGATGTCAAGTCAGGTTTGCTAGTTCACAGCTCTGCACCCTTCCCCTTTCTTCCCCTCCTCCAGCCAGATGACTGCTGGAGGCCCAGGCAGCGCCTACACACATCCAGCTGGCAGGAGCACAAAAAGGTCATTTCTTTTATCCTCCAGCTAGGAAGGGGCAGTTTGGAGTTTCTTTTTCAGGTTCTCCATGAACAGCAAGTTCTGCAAAGCCAGTCTCCTGCAGTCCCCATCAGGATCTTTCTCCACCACATCTGTAAAAGAAGCAGCCACCATGAGCTGGAAAATGGGAAAAACTGTCCTTTACCTGACGCTTCTTCACCTAATCTCACTTAGCAGTATTGCTCTTTCACTGACCACTCCAGAACAGCACAAGACACACCAGCATATGCAGCAACATCCAGGTTGGACATCGACATTTGCAAGAATTACGTTAGACCAAAAATGCTCAACCTTGATCACATTCAGCAGTATGAGTTTAGCTAAACTCTGTCACGTGACAATGCTCAGTTCATTCTTGTAGCAGAAATAAACAGTTGGGTTGACTGCCTGACCCTGCATTCCATGGTATAACCTTCTTGCCCGATTCGACTTGTGCCCTTGAGCTATACATCACCTGTCCACAGCTGATCTTCTAGCATGAATGCTATTTGTAACTAGAATCCACTTATTCAAAAGCCTGAAGTCTCCATTCTGCCAGTTCCTGTGATCTAGACACATGCTCAGTGCTCCCTCCTGAAACTTGTGCTGCCCTTCAAATAGGGGAAAGAAAGAGGTAGGACCCAAGTTCAACACATTTTCCATACTGAGCAATTAGTCTTCTGATAATCCAGTAAGTTCTTTCCCACTTTATGCAGTGTTTAAGGGAGGGCATGAAGCTGCTTCCAGCAGCTGTTATTTCAGGGGCCCTTAATCGGCCTGCAAAGTAAAAACCAGGATGCACACAGGATGTCTGAGCAGGGGGAGCCTGGAAGAGCAGAGAGCCTGTGTGAGGATATCCTGTACGCAAAAGCAGTGTGCTCAGAGCCCAGCTCATCAGTCCAAACACATGACTCATTCAGAGTGGGGCTATTTATCCTGCAGGGAGAGCTTTCACGATGGTGTTTCTGTGCTCTCTCTACAGAAGGCAGCAAGGGGGAGATTACAACATGAGCATAAGTTCAGAAGCTAAGAGACTGATGTTGGCAGTATTTCCAATTGCCATGAGCACAGACCTTGAACTGCTGCGACTAAAAGGGAGCCACAGGGTACCAGAGTATCATTCAGGTCCTCACATAAAACAAACTTATCTATGACACAGCTCTACAGCACTGGCAAGGGGTGGGGAACTCCCTCAAAGGCAGCTGCTGAGAAATTAAAGGAACTGTTTCCTAGAAATGTTTAGGTATTCCCTCCCTCCCCCGGGAAAGATCAGGCTACTACATTAGGTCCAGCATGGCACTAATGAAAGACAGGACAAGGTGGATCCCAGCCTCTCTCTCCACCTGAAATGGCACAGAACATCCACTAATGGATAGTACTGTGACAGTGACTGAAGTAGTTCCTTCCACCACACTGGAAATGCTTTCTAATAGGGAACAGTTCTGTTGAAGGGCAGGAACAGTCAGTCACATTCACACGATGAACTACAGCAGTCTGCAGAGACATGACAGAGAAACAAACTGCAGCAGATTCATAGACTTGACTGAATGGTCACGGATAATATTTTCTAGCCACTACTTCTCATTGTGCTTTTGCCACAGCAGGAGAAATGCAGATGCTTCAAGCTGACATCCAAAAATATGACTTCTGGCCATTAGGTATGGCAGTAGGCTTGCATGCTTGACAGCTTGTCATTTTTCCAAGCTATAAGAGTAGGTCTAATACATGACATGTCTTGCACATCTTTTCTGGAAGAGTCATGAAGCAGCAGCAAGTGCACAAGCTCAAAGCTATGATCCAGTCACAAAGCAGGCCTCTAGTGACCAATTTCACCAGCTGCAGCAGTGAGGAGGAGCCTGGTGCCTCCCAGCAGTCCTAAAACGACAAGTAAAGGGACAGCACAAGAAGCTTCTTGTTTCAGGAAGCAGCTTTGGCAGCCCTTTTAAACTGTACTGGCATTGTATGTGACCAGATGTGGAGCTGGGTAGTACTTTTTAAGGTTTCTGAATGGATCCTGTAACAATTTTCCCTTCTCTACCACACACACAACTGTGATCTTCACATGACCCACCAGGATCTACCATGCAATTTTCATGCCAAAGCACTACATGTAAAGAAATGGCTATTACACTACCTACAGGCACAAAAAGAAGCTGCTAGCATTGTCATCATCCTCCTTCCAAAAATAGCTCATTAAAAACAGATTACACAGACCCTCATGCTGAAAATACATTTAACACATTCCTGGGAAGGCTGTACTTGATAACAGCAGTGTTAACTGCAGAGACAAGCAGATTCGCCAGAACACACCATGTCATGGGAAAAGTAAAGTTTTCAGCCCCGCAAGGCACAGCTCTTCCTTTCCGAGGTTAGAGTTCCACAGCCTGCAAGAATCCCAGCCCAGCTGTGTCAGCATTGCTTCCTGCCTGCTCCCTGTGGTAAGCCAACTCACTAAGAGTGAGAATGGTGAAGGAAACCAATTCAGGGAGTCACACAAGGTCCCCCCAGAATACAGGGAAGGCTTCAGAGCTACAAAGCACACAACATTATTTTCTCTTGTACTTCTGATACACTGTGATACCTGACCCCCAACTTGTGCGATTCCAGTCTACCAGAACCCACAAGCAGCCTGTGTGGATGGAGGGTGCGCTGGGCACAGCACAGTCATCTGCTGTCTTTCATAGGCTGTTCTTTCCATCAGCAGTAGGAGATGGGGCCATGCTCCACTTCCTTGTATCTTAAGTAATAATGAAACCCATGTTCTGTGCACATGGTGTAAACGGGATGTACAAGCTTTGTATGTTATTACTAGTGTAATATGCAACATGACAATACTTTCTGCAGCTTCGTGAAGTGGATCACTGGATGCTTAGGCAGAGAAGGAGGACACATAATATATTTGGGGACTTTTTTGACTGGCCTGTGAGGAGTCAACTTCGAAATGCATTGCTCTCAGCTTATACTTATATACTTTGGTAATACAGTGTGAGACCACTGAAACCTAAACTAGCAAGCAATAAATACATGTACTGTGCAAATCTCTGGTGTATGACACTAGGACATGCCTGCTGCCATCACAACCAGAGATGCTGCACAAAGACTGCACCATGAACCAGAAAAACACTGGTGTACACTACTGTCTCTTACCTCCCAGCCAAGACCGAGTCTCCAAAAGCTCTTCTGTCATGTCTTCCAGAAGACACTCTGCAGGGACACTGAAGAGCAAGGAGGAGATACAGGACAAAAGGCCCTGGCGCACGTACCTGTTGGAGAAAGACTGTTTGGAGGCTGCAGCTTTGTGCTCTACCTTGATTTCCTCACCTCAAGGGTTCTCCAGTTTCAAATATTTGTGATTAGGATGAGTTTTGCCATATACCTACTGATCAGAAGTGGAATTATGCAGCAGCTGGCACAGTGCTCACATCCAGAGCCCCTGCCATGGGGTAGGGCAGGAAGTCTAGTGTAGTTCAGAGTCCTGGGCAAGTCTGAGACCAAACCAGAAACTGGATGTTTACAGCATTTTCGCTATATGTCTTAATTTCTTCCCAGCATTGCATACTGGAATTGAATTGAAACTTCCATGAGCTCCCTAGATAAAGAGATGAAACTATCCCATGGATAGTTGATCAAGAAATTTGTTGTGTTTTCCATAGTTAATGGCTGTACCTCCACACTACGAGACAGTAGCCAGGTTCATACGTTGGCCTGACATTAAAGCAATGCCTTCATTTCATATTCTTGCAATACTTAGGATGGAAGAGAGCATACAGTTAATGTATTAAGTCACTGACATTCTTACTCTGGTGCTACCCTTGGACAAAGAGAAACCATGGCTGAAGACTGGCTGGCAGCTGATCTTTAAAAAATAAAGCACACAACCAGAACTCACGAGTCAGTGTGGAAGCGCAGAGCCCAAACAAACTCCAGCAGTGCCTTTCCCATTGCAGCAACTGCCTGCAAAACAGGATGATGACAGAAACACTGAACACCTTCACATTCACACCGCCCTACAGAACTGCACCTTGAGATGCTCTGCTGTGAACATCAGGGTTATGATTAACGTTATTTTACAGATGAGGAAACTTAGGTAGCAAAATGATGAGCCCAACCTCCCACCCAATTTGATAGTTTTTCTACCAGGGTCAGCACAGGATTGTGCAGGGCTCCCTTGCCTCTTCTCTGACCATTTTTTTCCCAGCTCTTTTCTCAACTCTCAGCACACGTGACTCAAACTTGCTGCCAGTCTCAGCATGACAGGCCCAGGGTTCCTAGGCTGGAAGCCTCCCCTGCTCTCTGCAAGCTCACACAGCCTTTCTTACCACAGTGTTGACAGCCAAATACATCAAGACTGCTAAAGTGTGGACCAGTCTTGCAAGAACAAAGTGATCTTCCCCCAGGAGATCAAATGTTGTCAGAGGCCTGCAAATGCAAGACACACAGTCCTGTAGCAGTGAGAAGGCTGATCAGTGCATCTTTGGAGCAGTCACAGTGGTTATGCAGGGCAAACTCCCCCACAAGTCTGAATCCCTATGACATAGTCATTAAAGTTAATCCCGGTTTAACACAAGCCACAGCTGTTTGCTCTCATCGTTGCTCCCAGACCAATGATACTCTCTACTCCTACAGCAGGTATCATTTATTCTACTAACAGACTTTACTACTGAAAGCATTACTGCCATACTAGAGATAAAGCATTAAGACTGGTATGCCAAGAATCTTGATTCTCATGGAATCAATTATTCAGCCATCTTTAGGTAAGCAAAGACCTAAGTGATTAACAATGAACCACATCCTATAATGTGGTCTCAAGGACCAGTCCAGGTGACAGGCCCAAACCTGAAACAGAGTTAAATTTGGCTAAGACTGCAATCTCCCCAAGAAGGAGGGTCAGCCAAGACAACGGGTTTAGTATTGCCAAAATCATCATCCTCTGTACCTGCTGACAGGTTATTCTTCATAATAGACCTTCTCTTCTGCAGGATCTCACATACTCTTACCCAACAAGACTTCATAGGCTAAGTCCAAGAGACCACAAACTCCTCCTCTCTAAGCTTTATGCATGAGCCAGGCATCAGTGTGGTGTCACTGGACTTCCACACAGCTTCTGGGTTTTAGGCTGCTTCTCTGAGGCAAGTTCACTCAGCCACTGCCATGCCCATGACCCAGTATGCTCACACTCACCTGTCAAAGTGCTGAATCAATGGAAAAAAGAAGTGTCCGGCAACAGAATTGAACTCATTTGGGCTGGAAGCCAGTTCCACTTGAGACTGACCCTGTCCAAGAGAAAAATGAAGTCTAGACACAAGATGCAGCATCCGACACTTCACACCACTGTTGAAACTACAGGTTCCTTGCAGCCATCCTGCTGTCAGTCACTGCCTGTTCGTACGTCTACAGCTACTAGTTTCCAGATTGGATGGATCACTTCCCACCTTGAGATCCTTTCACACATCTAAGTATTTCAGTACAATATAACTCAGTATTGCTGGGTTAGAGACAAGAAACAAGAACATGCAAAGGATAATGGAGTTTTTTGGCAAGCAAGTTTTCCAGGAAGAACCACAGGGGAGTTCTCGGAACTAGGAAACTGGAATCCATTTATCTTACTAAAAATAGGAAGGCTAAGACAGCCCAGGTCCAGAGGCAGCTAGGCTGATGGAGGAGGCTCTGGTATCTGTAAGGTGCAGCCACAGCTCCCTGCAGTGGCCAGACAAGCTCAGAACAACCATGGAACAGCAGCAACTATCCCTCAATGCAAGGCAAGCAGTTCAAGGTTTATTTTCCTCTCCCTGCTGAAGGAGTTGGTATTTTGCACTGGTTCAGCCAGATACCAAGATAATTTTGTATTTGAAATTACACAGTATTTTCTTTGGACCAATCTCACAGGTATTGTGCTCTTTCCAGATAAAACTACAGCAGCTCCCAGCATCCCTGTTTTTGCTGGATTTCACATTGGTTTTTGTGTGCCCTGGCCTCACCATAGCAAATCTCCGAGTCTTGTTTTTGATTCTCTCATCAACAATTCTTCTCCAGTCCTTAGAGCTGTCACTTTCAGGAAGGAGCTGGATACAAGGTTTTGGGGCACCAGAATGCTTGGTCTTCCAATGGGATTTGGGATGGGACAGCTCCTGAGCTGACAAAACCAATACCTAGATGAAAAAGATGGAGGTTCTGTTAAAAAAGGGTGTACTAGAGAACAGTAACAGTTACTTGCACCCAAACTGCTAGGAATAGGAAGGCAGAAAGCACAGCAGGTTTTGAATGCAGAATATCAAGGTGAGTGACCCCAGATAGCCAGCTGGCTTCAAGGTACTGATCAAGCACTCAGTCCCTTAGCCCTGAAACAGAACAGGGGCTCCTTCTTCAGACACAGCAAGTAAAATGATGCAGGAATCCAGGCAGATTGCTGTCTTTCAGAAAGTGAAGTTTGACAGACCAAGGACATGTTAGGAAACAGTGGCTTCTCCTGGGCAAACAACCATCCCATGTTTTTCATTGTGTGAGGAAGGATCACTGTATTACAGTAGTGTAGCAGTGTTACAAATGAGAAGGGAATGCCAGGCACAAATAAGAGATTTCCATGGCTCTGCCTCCTCTTCCAAGGAATAAAAGATAACCCCATTACCTCTCAGGAAAACAGCACTGGTGCAACAAAGACACAAGTGAAGTGGGAAGTGAAAAGAAGAGCACTTACATCAAGAATGTCCATGCGCTGATTAAGACTGTAGTTCAGAGAATAGAACTGGGATGTCAAGTACTTTGCTACCTGTAGAGAAAAATCACAGCACAGTGAGCAAAAATCCAGTCTGGAAACAGCCTTCCCACTAATTCTAAACGCACTCCATTGCAGGAGAAGTCTTGCTTCCTGTTAGTCAACAGCAAGCCTCCAAGAAAAATGAAGAGATATGCTGTGCAAACAGAGGAAATTTAGACACTTCTACTTCTAGATTCTCCCAAAGGAAGTAAATGACAAATGGGACTTTGCCATCCTTCTCTCCTTCCTAGGCAGAGGTACCTAACAAATGCCACAGCAGCTTTGGCACTTCAAAGGAGACCTTTCTGTAGCCTTTTAATGCTTAAAGGGGCTTCTATGAAAGATGTAGACAGACTTATCAGGGCCTGTACTGACAGAACAAGGGGTAATGGTTTTAAACTGACAGTTCTAGCTTAGACATAAGTCTTTTTTTAGAGAAGCCATTTGCGCCTTAGCTTTCCTCTATGCAAAACAATCTCTCCTTCAGTGCAATACGTCCTTATTTAATTTGCTTTGTCAGATATACTAACAGCCTCCAAACAGTTCCTCCAGTCTGTTATAGCTCTGACAGAGTTTCCTCATTACTGCTGTTTCAGTCATCCATTGCAGATTCTTCATTGCATTGACCATAAATGCTGCTAGACAGAGATTAGTATTCTACCACACCCTGGTAGCTGCTTCTATCAAGCTAGCAAGAGATTTCAGCTCCTTAAATTTTTAGCTGTGCCTCAACTGGAAAAATGAAAGCAGTTAAGAGGGACTCACAGGTATTGGATCTGTGGTTAAAACAGCTACTTGAGCTCTCTGTCGGAGCTCCACAAAGCCTTCAATACAGGTCTTCTCCTGCAGATGCAGCAGTATCTTTGCCAACTCCACGCTAACCTGTTAAAAACATGCAAAAAGAAATCAAAACACTGCAGGTGTTTGGTTTTCTCACAGGATTTACACACTATTCCTAATGTTTAAGCAAAGACAGTGAGTGTATGGAATAGAGGCAACATGTCAATTACTTAGGAGGGAGAGAAAACACACTAAAATAAATGCCATCAAGTTTTCTCAAAACACTGAACAAAACCCTAAGCCAACTTCTGTGTCCACGTTCATTTTGGCTTTATGGACAAGTGGTGGCATCATTATATAGGAGGACTTATCACTGTAACTGATGGGTTAAAGGGTACATCTGAAGCCCATACAGCTCAATAGCAAGTCTGATAAGCAGCAGCTGACTGTGTGCTGTTTACCAGACTACACCAATTCCTCTTCTCAGGTGGCAGAGATGGTTTCTTAGCTGCCTTCAAGTGCTCACAAGTGGTGGTGAGCACACATCACACTGGTGACCTTGTCCCAGGTTCCTCTCACCTCAGCTTTTCATCTTCACCAGTAGAATCCAACTGCTCCCTCCAGAAGACATTATGCTTGTAAAAGCAAATAGGAGAAGTCTGTTTGATTTTATCTCCCTTTTGTTGAGGAGTAACAAATTCAATTTCCATTCAAAATCAATTCAATCCAAAATGAAAATCAATTGGTTTGAGGAATTTGTGGCTGCTCTGTGCTGCATTTCTCATGGATTTTTCTGCACAGCACAAAGCATGGAGCTTCCTCTGCTTCTTCACACTGCTGGCAAGCTTTACCTGCAATGCATTTCATTTGCAGCACTGGAGCTGCTAAATGCCACACTGTTGCTTGAACCTCTGCCTGCTGCTTTGTCCCTTTGTGCTCTGTAGCCTCACCTCCAAAGAGGCTATTTCCTTCTATTTCCTTTCCCAATTTGAAAGCTTTAAATCCAGGTACACATTAGCCTGGCCTCCTGCTCTGTTGCATATTTAGTCTCATGAGGACAAAGGGATAATCCTGTACTGCAGCCCACTGGGAATTCAGCTCATACTACTTCACCTCTCTTGTTGCCTCTGGATTCTTTCGAACCAAGCTCTCAAGAGCCTTGATTGTAGCTTCCCATTTGTCCATATCTTCACATCCTGTCAAGACTGAAGGTAAAAGACAAACAAAAGCTATTAACAGAATGGCTGTGATTGGGTATATACCCCCAGCTTTCTTCTGCCATTAGCGTGTTCGTTACAGGCAGAGATCACTGACCCAGTGCACAACCAGCATTAGGAACTTACGTGAAATTACTCACAATTAGTTGAGCCCAGATTACTGAAATCCTACAGCTTCTTCAAATTAGCTCAGAAAAAAAAAAGCCTACACAGGGATCGCTCTGCTACAACCAGTGAAAAGCAGATAAAGACTCAGCCCAAAATCTTTTACCTTCAATACAGTCTCGGATATACATAGGAGCCTTAATCTTTACTTCTTTATCCTCTGACATGTCATAAGGGATGAGGTCATCATCACTATATGAGAAATGAAGGCAGGAGTTAGTCTATGGGGTACAGATATTCTTCCTTTGTCCAGCTAGCCACAGAAAAGGGAAAGAACCAGCACATACATTGTCCTAACACTGTCACCGCTTGCATCATCCTGCAGCACTGCTGAAACCTAGCCTGAAAGGGTTCCTTAGGCAGTCCTATGAGTTACACCAAAGCTCAGTGAAAGAGCAGTTCTGTGACCAGATCTGGAACTGAATCTCCTGGTAAACTGCAGGCACAAGGCAGGTGACCAAAAGACCAGAAGTTGATTCTTGAGATTTCTTCATATATTGGTAAAGTGAAAGAATAAGGCAGGACCACTATTAGAATGGCTAAATATGTCCATAATTCCAGAAAATGTAGTAGATATACCTGACCAATTTGGTGGCCTTTTATGATGGGGCTATGAAACTGATGGACAGAGGTACAGCAGTTGAAGTCATCTACCTGGACTTGTGCAAAGCATTTGACACTGTCCCGCATGACATCCTTGTCTCTAAATTGGAGAGACATCAATTTGATAGATGGACCACTTGGTGGATAAAGAACTGGCTGGATGGCCGCACACAAAGAGTTGTGGTCAGTGGCTCAATGTCCACCTGGAGACCAGTAACGAGTGGTGTCCCTCAGGGATCGGTGTTGGGACCGGTCTTGTTCAACATCTTTGTCAGTGACATGGACAGTGGGATTGAGTGCGCCCTCAGCAAGTTCGCTGATGGCACCAAGCTGTGTGGTTCAGTTGATATGCTGGAGGGAAGGAATGCCATCCAGAGGGACCTTGACACACTTGTGAGGTGGGCTGATGCCAACCTCATGAAGTTTAACCATGCCAAGTGCAAGGTCCTACAGCTGGGTTGGAGCAATCCCAGGCACAGCTACAGGTTGGAAGAAGAAGTGATTCAGAACAGCCCTGCAGAGAAGGACCTGGGGGTATTGGTTGATGAGAAAATGAACATGAGCAGGCAGTGTGTGCTCACAGCCCAGAAAGCAAACCGTATCCTGGGCTGCATCAGAAGGAATATGACCAGCAGGTTGAAGGAGGTGATCCTGCCCCTCTACTCTGCTCTCGTGAGACCTCACCTGGAGTATTGTGTGCAGTTCTGGCGTCCTCAACATAAAAAGGACATGGAACTGTTGGAACAAGTTCAGAGGAGGGCCACAAGGATGATCAGGGGGCTGGAGTGCCTCCCGTACGAAGACAGGCTGAGAAAGTTTGGGCTGTTCAGCCTGGAGAAGAGAAGGCTGCGTGGAGACCACATAGCAGCTTTCCAGTATCTGAAGGAGGCTATAGGGATGCTGGGGAGGGACTCTTTATTAGTGACCATAGCAACAGGACAAGGGGTAACGGGTTCAAACTTAAACAGGGGAAGTTTAGACTGGCTATAAGGAAGAAATTCTTTACTGTAAGGATGGTGAGGCACTGGAATGGGTTGCCCAGGGAAGTTGTGAATGCTCCATCCCTGGCAGTGTTCAAGACCAGGTTGGACAAAGCCTTGGGTGAGATGGTTTAGTGTGAGTTGTCCCTACCCATGGCAGGGGGGTTGGAACTAGATGATCTTAAGGTCCTTTCCAACCCTAACGATTCTATGATTCTATGAAATCAATAGAATGGTTGTACATAAGTGGGCTATGTGAAAAGTATTGACTTGTGTGTAATTTCCTACACAAAGTCCTGCTGCGCTGCATGCCACAAGAAGGTCAGCACAAGATTTGCCAAGAGATGCAACTACCAATAGCTCCCTTCTCCCCATGTCTGCTCTTGTTTTCCTTTTCCTAGCAGTTTCTTGCCCCATACCTGTCAATCTCAGTGTCCAGCTCCTCATCCGGCATCACAGGGGCTGCTGTATGTGATTTGTCATTACTTTCCAATACCACTGGTAGTGCAGTGTCTGCTTTCTCATTCCTGCTGTGAGGAACAAGAAATATTAAAACCAATACAGCAACAGTCCTTACGAGCAAGAAACTACCCACACCATTAACCACTGCTGGCTGAAGAGAATGGCAAATAATTACTTCTGCTGCAGTCTCCCACCTAGCTTGGCTAACACAAGGAGCAAAGTCCTGGGAAGGAGAATTGAGTGAGGGAGAAGAAAAGCAGAATATCTTAAGAGAAGAGCAATAGGTAACAAAAATTTGCTGTGCTCCCCTGCAGTAACCTGGCGTGCCCCATATTTAAAGCTGTGAATGAAACTGAACAAATGGGGAATAAACATATTTAGTAGAGTGAATACAATAGATAAGAACAGAAAGGCCCATCTGATTCTACCCAGGAGCACAAGGACCCCTGGAGCATGGTTTCACCACATTCAGCTATCCAACAAGCAATTTTAATAAATTCATAACCAGAATGGTAATATGTAACATAACTGCTACACTGCATTGTAAGAATAAGGTGCATTATAATGCTTAAGAATATATATGACATCTTGCATACTCTATACAGTTCTAGCATGTGACACGGAGAGGATAAACAAATAGCAGGGAGATGAACAGTAACAATGTCTTACTCATCACATGGAAGGCTGGGGACAGCACAGAATGGTGGAGTCTGCACCAGGAGGGACTTCAGCTCTCTTGCTTCATCATCTTCTTCATACTGGACAGTCAGAGCAACTGTTACTGAACTCTAACTGCAATATGCCCAGTATTCAACATTTCACCCTTCTGCTTCTTGCCAGTGAAGACTGAATCAAGAGCATATGAACCCAAATAAATCCCACTTGTTTCCATCACTCTGCTGCCAGCAGTAATGTATTTATGCGGTAAAGCAATCTGTGCCACATATAATCTTTGTCCCTATTTAACAGTGGCACCTGATCAGACCTTGCCTGAATACTATTACAGTTTTTAAAACACTTAATAAATAGCAATGTGACATCAGGGATGATGCAGAGTTTTAAAGAATTAATGTGATTTAATTACATAATTCTTATAAACTCTCCTGGAAACAGCAAAGTGTATTTCCCCTTGTCAGTCTTGAAAATCTCAAGTCAGAGGCTATTTGCTATAGAGTTGGTTTTTGTAAACAGATCTCCTCTCCTTTTCAGAGTGTTGCCACCTCTCCTTATTTCTAAAGGGTAAGTGTTAGAACTTGCCAGAATGTCCTGAATCACCTGGCTTAAAGCTTTTATCTCCTCTACACCCTACACACCAGACATAAATTTCACTGTAACTTTCACCTGAAACTTCAGGACGGGCCCATCAGTGTTTATTTTTGCACTAATGCTCTCTGCCACAATCATGCCCAGACGCCGTATTTGTGGCAGGCTGCTGTCCAAGTGGCATTTCACACCCTCCATCATGCTTGTGAGAAGCTCTGAAAACAAAACCAACAAACTGTGCATGAAATGGTGACAGAGAAAAATCCACCTTTATACTTCCTGAGAGGGCATCCTTAGCTGCTCACCACCCAGTCATTGGAAGGAAGACAGTAAAGGCCCGTGCAACTGTGACTTCTCTTTCTGCAGTGGCTGTTTTGTTCTTCTGCCCCAATACAGTAAACCCATGCTTTTTCATGGGGTATGAAGTCAACAAAACATTACAATAGAGTCTAAATTTGGAGTATTTCAGTTTTCACTGAAACAAAAAAGGGTCATAAGTCAAGTCAATCTTTAGCTTTGTTTTGGAATGCTTCAAGGCCACTAAAGTCATGTTTTGAGGAAGCTACAAATTCTGACCAGTACAACAATCATGAATGAGAAATTTCCCATAGTGCCTAGGTAAGTTGAAACAGGCAAGTAACAGTGGTATTTCTCAGCCCACACAGAAAGATGGTTGCCAGCTTTACCAAGCAGGCTTACTGTGTTAGAAAGACATCCTTCAACTCAGAAAAGCTAACTTTTCAACAGCTGTCAGATAAAAAACTGATTATAAAACTACACTACTGTTAGTGGATAATAGGTCACTTATTCACCTAAAGAATTAAGTTTTAAATGAAGCAGATTAACAGGTCTTGTAAGTCAATCTGCTTCCCCCAAAAAGCCACACACAGAAGTAACTCTAAACACTGAACAGTTTGGTTTTTTTTTTATTGCAATAAAAACATAAATTTCAGAGCAGGACCCCAGTGTGCTGCACAGTGTACAATAAACTGGAGGTCCTTGGGCACATGGCTAGTCAGAGACCAACCAAACAGCTTTTTATCCCGACATACTTTCCCCTGTACCCTCATGCTCCAACACTAAGCATATAAACTGCAGATCATGCCGCTCCTCTAACTAGTCCCAGAGTTAATTCTCCTTTTCCTGCAGCAAAACTGAAGGGTTCCTAAACCATATTTAGGTTTGACCTCAGGTCAGAGATGCTTCTGCAATCCCATAATTTCAAGCTATGCACTTGGTAATATATGGGTGCTAAAGAGGATTCCAGCAGGCTACCCTGTTTGCCAAGATGAAAATGGGACCATTTTGTTTATCCACACAGCAAAACAAGATGTTTTTCTACTCACAGACCTTCTGCTAAATAAATCTCATCCCCACTTTTCCCATTGCCTGACCTTGTCTGCAGCTCTCGATTTCAGTCTCCTTCAGGTGGGAGAGGCAGATAAGTATGGCCTTGCTGATATACTGCTGCTGCTCAGGTGGCGAGTGTCTCACAGCACTGCTGCTGCTCCATGTCTCCAATAGTTCTTGCAGCACCTAGAGCAAAGCACTCAAGCTGGTCTGAAATGGACCTTCTCTACATGTAAAAGTAATCTTCTTTTTGACACACATTTTGGTATGTACTTTCATAAAACACGCCATATATTCTGATTGCCCTTTGGTCTTCATGTTTCCCGGTGAACCTTACGCTAACATTGTATTTCAGGGCCCAAAACATACTGTGTTTCACCAACTGAGACCTCCATGCCACCTTCATTTGATATATTATTAAATATATAGATTTTTAAAGTGGTAAATACACTTACTTTTCATAAATAAATAGTCTATATAAAGTAATACATATTATTGTCAAAAAACAATGTGATATGACAGGAATTTAGTCCAATCTTATACAATATCCCCTTAGAATTTTAGAACATGTAACCAGTGGAGAGAAAAAAAATAAAAATGGTAGATGTTTACAGAGACACAGATTTCCTAGAAGCTCCATCACACTGCTGACTTGGAAAGGGAAAATATCTGCATCCCCACTGAGGAAAAGGTACATGAGAGATTCTGAAGCATCAACCATTTGGCGCACAGACAGCTCTCAACCAACTTCATCACTTGCTGCCATCTGCCCAGCCATGCAAACAGGGGATGACAGAGGAAGCTGAGAAAGATGGAGGACAGGGGACATCTACTAGAATCCAAGCCTCCTTAGGTTTGCTACCTGGCAGGGAATTTAGCAATTAATTATGAAAAACTAACGTTTCAGCAGTGCAGAAAGTCTTTGATTTGTAAATCACAATTTACTTGAGGCAGGGTTTCCCTCACACTCACAGACAGGAACAGAAGTGTCTCAGAGAAGTACCAAAACTGTGCATCACGCCCGCCGCCCCCCCCCCGCCCCCCCCCCCCCCGCCAGCAGAGCGTTTTGCCATCTGGTACCTCACCAACAATGTTACTACAGCTTACTTTGATCAACAAGGCACGCCGAAGGCTATCCACAGCCAGGTAGCCAAGGAGGTTCTGTAGCACTGCAGTCTGCAACAAAAACCACAGGACTTGCTTTAACTGGGCATAAAGTGACAACAAGGACACGTGTGCACTTCTACTACATTAAACTTTTCATTCTGAGGGACTGGTTTACAACATTCAGAAACAGGAAAGTGAGTAAATTAAAAAAAGAACCCAACCAACCAACCAAACCCACACACATGCAGTTGCTGACAAAATACATGGAAAAACAGGACAGAAACACAGAGCAGTATTTTTACCATCAAAACCACATCAGCACAGTCCTGAACAAACATGGGACACAAAGTCTAGAGAACATCTCTCTCAACAATATCACAAACCACAGAATATGTCTTAACACCCTGTGCCAAAGTTAGGTGCACAGGAAAAAGCCAAACCAAACAGTCCTTGTATCTCTTTAACCTATTTCTTATCCCTGAGGGTGGGTCATGGCTTCTTCAGTGTCTTCTTTCAGATTCTAAATTAACTAGGTCTCCCCAGAACACTGAAATTATGAGCAAATAACCACTTGGTTCCAGAAAGAGAGTACAGTAATTCACCATCAACCCTGACAGTAAATGAATCCTGTGATTTCAAAGCAACTGCTTTGAACCTCTCCCTCTTCATTACCTTCAGCTGAGGGGATGTAAGTGAACACAGCTCAGGTATGTGTGGAGACACTGATTTCAGAGTGAAGAGTTAAATTTTACCCATGAAGACCTGCAGCTCAGCTAAAAAACACACTGGCACGTGGGGAAGAAAAAGGCATTCCCACGTTGCTGTTCAAGGCAGAGTTCTCACCGTGTGGCCATACTGCAAGAGCACCACCTTCTGTGTCACCACAAACTGAGCTTTCTTGTTCTTCACAACCAAGTTTCCCAGCAACCTAGACAGGACATCTGCCCTAGCAAATCAAGAGCAAAACATTAGGAATCCATGGAATTACTATCATGCTGCAACTCATCATAGGAAATTCTGTGAGTAGCTATTTGCAACAGTCTCTAGAACACTGCTAAACTTCAAGAGTAAGTCAGCAATTGCAAGAAATGTTTGCACTTGGTTTTTCACTGTAAGTCACAATACAGATCTTTAAGGAATGGCGGGTGTTCTACATGAGAGGTGACAATCAACTACTTTATAACCCCGGTCTCTCAGGAACTGGAGCCTGCACAAACACATCCCAGCATCTTTCAGACACTGATTCTGTGAGTATTCATGGAAAACTTCCAGCCTTTGCTCCAGATCGGGGAGGAAAGCAGAGTTCTTACCCAGGTGTTTGCTGCACAAAACCAAGGACCACCGCCTCCATCCAGCGATCTGGCACACATTCAACCAGTCGCCAGCAAATTCTTTGCCAGATGCAGTCTGACTTGGTGAGCTCCATCAGGCCGGGCACCAGAATGCCCAGGATTTCCTCTGAAGCATAAGAAGAAACAGGTAAATACACCAGATGGCCAGAACTGGTGCAACAGTACTCAAGGTCAACATCCTTACAAGATGAAGAAATACAATGTACAGACTGTAGTTCTAAATCGCTCCTGTGGCAGAAACTAACATAAGCAGGCTAAGGAACTTTCAAGTATTCCTCATGACACTAAACAGCTAGAAAACCTTTCCTGTTCTTCCCCAGCCCTGTTCACTGCTTCTGTGTTCAGTGGCTTCAAAGTCCTAAGCAAAGCCAGACTGAAGGCTACTCCCATAGGAGTGATTTCTGCTGGTATTTACAAGGCACTTTCAGAGCACTGGGTGAAAAGCCCTAAAAGAGCATTTAACAGTTTTGCCCCAAATGGGAGGATGAGGCAGCTCATCACCTTATCAGTCTTTGAGAGGAGAACAGATCACATTGACAGGAGCTGACAGAAAAGCATCAACATCTATCAGATATGTAGCTGACTAGCCTCAGAAAGTAGAGAGCAGCCTGTACATCCGAACTCATGAAACTCCCAAAGGTCAGTCTCCCACCTCCTTTGCCAATCATCACTGCCATCCTTCTGCACTAATATGGTAAAACAGACCTTCCCCTCCCCAGAACAGGATAGTGAAACACTCACTTTGTCTTCCATGAGTGCATACCTTCCCCACGACATGAGAAACAAAAGAGATTGAGCAATCCAAGCCACCTGGGATAAAACAGACACAAGCTTAACAAGCACATTACCAGCACCCTTCAAACAACCTTAAGGAGGTTCTGAAAGTGCTGAAGACTGAAAACACAGTCTCTTCAAGCATCATCTCTTCCTCCACCACCTGCCTTCAGGCACAAACCACTGAGAGTCAGAGGACTAAAGTAGTTCAGTCCCTCTTTAACACAATGGTTAACAGCCACAGTGTCACAAATTTTCCATACGACTCCTTCAGCACAGACCAAATGACCAGAGTTAAGCTCTGTCAACAAATCACAGAATCCCAGACTGGTTTGGGTTGGAAGGAACCTTAAAGCTCATCCAGTTCTAACCCTCTGCTGGGGATGGGACAGCCACAGCTTCTCTGGGCAATCTATGCCAGCACCTCACAACCTTTACAGTGAAGAGCTTCCTCCTAAGATCCCATCTCAATCTCCCCTCTGTCAGGTTAATGCCATTCCCCCTTGTCCTAATACATGACTTGTAGGACTGCAGCTTTCAGTGGGATTTTAAAAAACCTTGGCCATCTTCCTCATCCCTAGTACCTTATGCTTTTAAGCACAATGAACTTCAGCCTGAAGGATGAACCTGAAGCTCTGCAATACCTGTTAGCATCAGCCAATGGGGTCCATGCACAAAACACCTCTTCAAAAGTGCCATCTCCATAGCACAGTCCTCCTGCAATCTTACCTCTTAGAGAATCAGAGATCTTCTGCAGCACCTGGATAATTGTACCACCCAAGAGAGGGAAGTAGTTCTGGGGGAAGAACACTGGTGGGTTTTTCCCCTCCAGTTTATTGCTCACGTGGCTGGGCAAACACACAATCCTGTTGAGCAGGAACTCTTGCGGCTCCTGGGAGCCAGCCTGGACTGGCTGCTGGCAGACCTCCCACAGCAGAGCCAACATCCGTCCCTCCTGCAGGAACTGCTCCAGAACCTCCACCACCTCTCTCGGATGTAAGCTAGGGCTGGAAGAGAGTAACAGCAGTAAGCCCCTGCCCCTCTTAACTGATAGAGACGTGCATACTGTTTGTGGTCTCACCACAACACTGCTGCTGTATCAGAATTTTAATCAAAATAATATTAAAATCAAATGGATTTTAATCTCTTTGGTCTTCAACCTCCTCAGCCCCTAATGTCTCAGGACACCCGGCCAGCACTGCTAAACACAGGCTGGTGACCTCTGCGAGCAGCACCAGCACTGCATATGGTTTGAAACGAAGAAACCCGAGGGCACAGCAGGGCCTCCCACCTGCTGTCGCCCGCACATTTATGCCCTCGTTGTGCACAGGCGGGAGACACCCTCGCCCTTCCCTCCTGCGCTGCGGAGAACGAGCCCCGGGCAGCCCCCGAGGGACATCCGCCCGCACCGGACACTGACCGTGGGCAGCCGAGGGTCTCCAGCAGGACGCAGAACACGGGCACGGGCGGCCCTTCCAGGAAGCAGCGTTGCCACACGCCCTCGGGCCGCGCAGCGCGGGGCGCCCCGGCCAGGCTCCGCAAAAAGGCTCCAAAGAGCGCCCGCTCTCGCTTCCCGAGGGCTGCCGCGCCCCCCGCCGCCGCCAGCGCAGTCCGCACTGCGCCCAGCGCTGCCGCCGCCTCCTCCCCGACCCGCTCCGGCCCCGCCGCAGCCTCCCGTAGGGCCCGCTCCAGCCCCGCCGCAGCCATGACACAGACGGGAGAGACGCCGCGGTCCCACTTCCGCCCGCCCTCTGCTACAGCCAATCAGCGGTGCCTGCCCGCGTAACGCCAGAAAAAGGCGCCGTCCGGTCTTTAAGGAGACAGGCACAGGCAGGAACGAGGCAGGCCAGATCTTCTCAGCCTACTGCTTTATTCAAGAGTCTTACACAAGTACAAACACAACACGGCCCAAAAGGCTACAAAGTTTTACAAAACAAACTAAAGTATCTGTATAGCACTGACTGTACAAAGGGCAGTGAATCCTCTGCACTTCCCGAGGGAAGCCCAGCTAAATCCAGCCAGCACCCCCCCACTCAGCAGCCTCCAGGGATTCACACCCAGTCAATTTGGGATGTGTAAAAGCAGAAGCACTGTTCCACCCGGGGCTGGGGGGAAGGTTTTACCAAAACCCGTTAAGAAAACGCGAAAGAAATCGATTTACAGGGGCAGCTACAAACCAGTTCTTAAGACTTCTGACTTCTTTTCTAAACCAAGACGTTTTGTGGGCTGGACTGTTGCTTCTGGTCTATGCGTTACAGAAGAGCTTCACCTGCAGCAGAGCTCGCTGGTAGAAACTAACCAGCTCTTTGGGAGCTGGGATAAAGCAACAGCTTGGTGTTTAAGTCTCAGCAGATCTGGGCTCCAGCTGCTCTGAGAAGTTCTGTGCTGGAACCCCAAGCTCAGGTTAAATGCCTTCCTGTCTTACCACACAGGGTTTTTGAAGTAGCTCAAGATTTACATGCTGGTCTGTAACAGCGTGCTAAGCATTTAGAAATCACCAAGCAGCAGCCTGCTAACTGGAGAAAGAGAGGCTGCACCAAATTCTCCTTTCATTTAGCAGAAAAAGATTTTGCAGCCTTTAGAAATCAAAGCCATTTTAAAATCATTTCGATTCAATGTCAGGAAACTTGAAGCCTACATCACAGGTGATACACTGGCCAGGGGCTGTTGCTCTCTCCTTTTAGGTTGGCTTCACTGCCAGGATTATCTCTCTCTCACACTCCTCCTCACCCAGACCCATTATATTAAAAAAAAATTAAAAAAAAGTACAATATTTAGTCTGATGGGATTTAAGTTAAAAATTAAAAGTTGTCCAGTCCTTTTGCTTTATCGTGAGGAGTTTGAGCTGGAGCGGCTCCGATGGCGCCTTCGTCCAGGAGATCTAGATCTTGATCGTCGGCGAACAGGGGATCTGCGCCTTGGAGAACGGGACCTGGCAGAGAGGAAGGAGAAACCTTTAGCTACAAGACAAGAGCAACAGGTTCCAGCCATTTGGCAGTGCTCAAGGCCAGGTTGGACGAGGCCTTGGGTGATATGATTTAGCATAAGGTGTCCCTGCCCACGGCAGGGGGGTTGGAACTAGATGATCTTAAGGTCCTTTCCAACCCTAACGATTCTATGATTCTATGATTTGTCAGCTTTTCAAACACACTCCTTCCAACCCCACCTCACACATCATGATGTGAGTATTTCACTCCAGCTCGAGAGGAAAAAGCCAATTCAACCACTGACTACACAGCAGGGATATTCTGGCTACCCTCCCTCTGCTCCAGAAGTGGAATGAATGTTTAATACCCACAGAACAAACAACAATCTCATCTTCTTCCTCAAGCAAAACAAGCCCAAGTTGATTCTATATCAGATTGTCACCTGAAAAGTCAGCTTTGACTCCTGAAGTACAGTGGTATTCAGGAAAAGGATTCCTATAAACCCTTCCAAACCACAGGGATGTTTCTTAGAGGAAGTCTAACTTTAAAGAAGCAGTTACGCTTCAAGCCCTTCAGTACTACAACCAATCTGTACAGCCACCAGTACGACTCTGAGGCTTCAGGCACAAGAGTATTAACAGATCCTGAGCAGGGTACCAGATGTTGACCAGGGAAGAATACAAACAAGGAGGAGGGGATGTCAAACCTACCACCTGCCAGGCCTCAGTAAAAGGCATGTTCAGAGGAGGACCAACAGGCAGTGGTGGATCTTGTGCCACATTAAGTTCTCATTTTTAAACCTGTAGCTCATAAACTGTTCAGCAAGTGCCTCAAACTGGAGACACTTTTACTAGCAACCAGAGTTTAAGCCCATTTCCAAGACTGAGCAGCCAACAGCAGAATCCCAGACTGGTTTGGGCTGGAAGGGACCTTAAAGCTCATCTGGTTCCAACCACCTGCCACAAGCAAGGACCATTAAGATGCTGACAGAGACTCCAGAAGACTTATTATCAGAGCATGTTCAGACAGCCCTGAGTCACAGAACAGGCGCAGCCACAGAGGGTCACATCTTGGAATCAAGATGCTTTTCAGCCATGTGCCCATTCACAGAAATAATGGAGGGAGGTGCAAGGGCAGCAGAAAAGTGAGCGGCTGAAGCAGGCTGCCAAACGCATTCTGCCAGCTAGAAGTCCCTTCCCGCTCCACCTTGAAGCATTTATGCAGAAGGGACTCCAGGGAACAAGCTGAAAGGCACCTGACATTTCCAAGAGCCTGCATTTGGGGTGTAGGCCAGAGCAGGCCATCCTCAAGTGACCAACTTCCAAAGTACAATCCAGGTTCAACTGACACCCAAAAGGTACTCCTGCTGTTTGGAGAGGAAAGTCAAGTCCAACAGGATGAAACTGTTGCCCAGACAAGTCTTTCAGCGATAACCTATTGTTACACTAAGAAGGAAATACAAGTTGTCACAGCTCTCACCTTCTCCTCATGCGAGGGGGGGACCGGCGCCACATTGGTGGTGGTGGCAGCATCCTCCTGGGTGGGCTGAAGCGCCTGGGAGGTGGCCTGGGTCGTGGTGCCAGCACAGCTGTGGCAGTGATCTCCTGACCATCAATCTGGCCTTTTTAGGGAACCACAGGAACAGGAAGAAGTAAGTATTTTCCAACACTAATGTCTACACATCACATTACTGCAACTCACAGCTTTGTCACCAGCAGCTGAATCGTGAATCAGCCAACAGTGCCATTCCCACCACCCACTCAGGGACTGTTCTGACAAAGTCCACGTACATGCTAGACTTCATAAGCTGACATCCTATCACACTGCAGTTCAGATGTTAATTGGGAAAGGTTTTCACAGAAAATTAAAGAAATTTATTACTGTTCTGGAAAAAACAAAAAACCAAACATACCAAACAAAACAAAACACACCACCACAAAAACCCAACCCCAACCCTCAAGTTTTAGTAGCTCTGTTATGTTTTGGATCTATCCTGAAGCACACAAAAGCCAAAGACCTTTGGGCCGAGATCAGTTCCCCAAAGAGTCCCAAATCCCTATCATCTCTAACTTCGTCTTCAGATCAAACTCATCTGCTGCGAAGACTTTTAAAAGCACCCAGCCTCCTTGCAGCATTTGATACCTACCTCCATCCATGTGTTTCAGGGCTTTCTCAGCATCATCTGGGTTCTCAAACTCCACATAAGCATAACCTTTAGACAGGTGTGGATTTAGCCTATCAACTGGCATGTCAATCATTTTAATCTTTCCATAAGTGGAAAAAATTTCCATGATGTGATCCTGCAGAGAAAGAGGAACTCTTAAGGACACAGACCACACTTACTGACCAGATGTGGCTCATGCAGAGCAGTAAATCCATAGCACTAGATTAGCTTTGGATGAATCCCACCATGAGGAAGACAAACTTCATTGGCCAGATGTGGGAGGATTACCACTGCTTTTTCTACTGATGTTCAGCTCCTCCTCAGACTGTTCCAAACCTTAAGCTCCAGCAGCATTACTGCTGCGTGTCAACACTGGCTACAAAAATACAATTAGTGTAAAAATCTTCTTGGGGACCTGTAAATGGAGCTTATGCCCCCAGCTGAAAATTCTTAAGGTGCAACTGTAATATTTCTTAAAACGCATCTTTTTTTCAGCACCGAAGCCCTTTACCTCGGAAGACCGTTGAGCTACATTCTAACAAAGACAACTCAAACCAGCCCAGCTTTCTTCAGATCCTTTACCAAGAATCTCTATACATCATTAATGCCTCCAAGGTTATTTCAGCAGTAAGTTCTACAGCTTTCTTCCTAGGAAGGTAGGATACAGGGCCTGAAACACTAACAAAGCAGACAGACCTCTCCAGCATTACAACTGCAAAAGCCTGCACTGTATTTGACTCAGTAAAATCCTACCAAAAATTTCCTCACTGATCATTTGGACAAAAAGCAAGAATTTCTAAAAGCAACACCTTAGCAGCAACAAAGTCTTGAGAGCTTCAAAAGAGCCACTCACATGTCCTCACAAATGAGGGGGACAAAAAAAATGACAGGGAGCATGGCATTACCTTGGTCACATTTCTAGTGAGCCTTCCAACATGTACTTTTGTAGGTCTGGGTGATGGGCTCCGCCTCTTTCGCTCCTTTTCATCTCTTTTGGGTGGCTTGGACCTGATTTTGACAGCAGAAAATACTTACAATTTTCAGGGAACAAGCAAGACCAAACCAAGAGGCTGGTCATTAACACACGATTAAGAAGTACCACCTCTCCTGGGAAGGCATCTTTATTCTTAAGAAGTTAAAGAAAGTTAGGGTTAGGAAGTGCTGGGGTTGTGCTGAGAGCATTTCACTTGGAAACTCTCAAGACCTGCATCTGTCCTGTCTGCTTTTGCTTTAGAACCTTCTGGAATTTGAGAGCCTTTTTTTGTGAGTTTTCAATTTTACTGCAAGAAGGATAACAAACATGAAGTTTAGCGAACCTTTCTATAAGGCTGTTGGCCATAGTTTTAAGAATTTTCCAGTTGTTCAGACAAAAAGCATTCTTTGCCTCAACAATTAGAGAGGCAAAATGAGGACATAAGCACCAAAGCATACCACAACCAGGCAGTTAATGGATCCAATGATTTGTGTCTCTGTACCTGCAGTTCACTACAGAGATCCAAAAATGCCACAGTTAAGTAGCTGCGTATCATAATGTCTTTGACAGTGTAAAAACCGCAAAAGTCTGGAATGTAACTTTAATCAGTAAAAAAAAAAAAAAAAATCAGGATGCAGAAAATATGGATTTATGCTTCTTTCTAATCTTACTCTCCAT